TACATGCACATGCATACAGACATACATACATACATACATCCATGCATACATACATACATGCATGCATGCATGCATGTATGCATACATACATACCTACATATGTATCATACATCAAGATCGATGCACCATGTATATACGCATGTAGATGTATGAAGGGCAGCTGCACGGATTGATGGTGGCTCCTTTTCAAAGTGGGGCTCTTGTTTCAGACGTCCTCGAAATTGATGGCCAACTGCGTAGCATTGTTGCACAGATGGAGGCCTCGGGCTGATGCTGATGCTGATGATGATGATTATGACTATGTTTATGATGATGCTGATGCTGATGATGATGATGATGCTGATGATGCTGATGATGCTGATGAGGAGGAGGAGGAGGAGGAGGAGGAGGGGAAGGGGGATGCGGAGGAGGAGGAGGAGGAGGAGGGGGAGGAGGGGGAGGAGGGGGAGGAGGAGGAGGAAAAGGAGGAGGAGGAGGCGGTCATGTTTCAAAATGGGGCTCTCGCTGGGCACCTCGCTGAAATGCATGAGCATAACTTGTTCGCAGTCCTTATATCTCGTCGAAAGCGTGCAAGGCAGTTCCTTATCAAAGGGAGCTCTCGCATGAGTGGCAGGTCCTTAGGATGCTGGTCGCTCAAGGGGATTTCTCTTGTAGCGAGAAGACAGATGTGTGTGTGTGTGGATTTGCGGGGGGGACTCGGGAGGGGTGGGTGTATTGCAGCATCGTTGATGCATCTTGGATTTACTTTAGTCCTTCTCCCTGCTCCTTCTCCACATCCCTCTTCCCTCCTCTTCTTCCTCTGTGTCCTCCCTCCTCCTCCTCCACCTCCTCCTAATCCTCCTTCTCCTCCTCCTCCTCCTCCTCCTCCTCCTCCTCCTCCTCCTCCTCCTCCTCCTCCTCCTCCCCCTCCTCTCCTTCCGTAGCCATATTGGCTCAAGGTCCGTAGCTGTTGCTCGAGGACCTAAAGCATTTTGGCGGGGGGGGTTCACGGCCCCCGACAGCGATCTACAGAGCCTGGTATTGCATCGGGGTATCGTCCCTCAACTTACATGCTTTCTGGAGCCTACTGCTGGTCTCAATGCTTGTCAGAAGAGGCGCCGTGCAGCTGCTAGCTCGTGGTTCTGCAAGTGGCGCAGACTAGCCGAGCTGTTCAATATGTGGAGCATGCAACGGGGCCGCCGTCGCTGGCAATCGAGAGGTCAACAATGGCGCTCCCTCGCCGAGGCCCGTCAACGCACTCAGCTCGAAAGGTTGCGCAGACGAAGCCTTCTCAATGCTACCTAGAGACCAGCATCAAGCATGGCGAGTACCCCCTAACGTACGATGGAGTGGGCCCTGACGCTGCCGGTACTCTTCCTCGTCCAGGCTTGCCCGATTCAACTCAAATTTCACGGCTTCTGAGCGCGGGGGCGACGACGTCCAGGGCGTCCTCGTCTCCACAAATACCTCGTCCCAAGGCCCTTTCATCAAGCTTCTTGCTTTGCCGTCTTACTCCGTGGATGGAGTGGCGTTGTTGCAGAGGCACCACGCACAGTTGGATCGGCTTGCGGACTTCCAGAAGAGGGCCTCCGATGCAGGGTTCTCCGGTGTCCAGGCGCCTGCCGTGAGCACAAGCCGTGGTGGGACTCCTGGCGGCGTTGCGATTCTCTCGACTGCCAAGGTTATGGCGACAGCACCGCCACTTGTCTCGCCCCCGATCTCGGCGCCAGGACGCGCCGGACGCGCGCTCGCCAGGGATGGCCAGGTGGGATAGTTCTTGTATCGTTGCACTTGCTTGTCGACGGCGGCTCCACTGGAGAGAACCTAGAGATCCTCTCGGCTGCGTCAGCACATCTTGCCCGACTGAACGCCGCGGGGCAGGCGCGGGCCCTTGGGGGTGATTTCAACATGGACCCCAGGATGGTCGATAGCTGGTTTCACGCGGTTCGCCTCGTTCTCTGCGTGGCCCCTGGGCCCACATGTCGTCAAGCAAACCCAGGGACGACAAGGGACTTCTTGTTCGTGTGCGACCAGTTGACGCTGCTCGCAGAGCAGCCTTCTGTGGACGAGGCGGCGCACACCTTCCCCCATCTCCCAGCGTGGCTGACGTCCCGTGCCAAGCCAAGCGTCATGTACCAACGTGCGGCGGTGGAACCGAAGAGCTCTCCTGTTGGCCACCAAGCCAGGATGTAATCGGTCCTCCCCGATCGCTGAGTGGGGGCAAGTGGGGCAGGCCTTGTGCGATGTTGCATGCGTCGACGATTTGGCGGCCAGCCTGCTGGGATGACGTCCTCATCGGACTGGAGCCTGAGATGCTAGAAAGGTGTGGCATCATGGCCGCCGAGACTAGGAGGCGCTGCCATGGCCGCGCTGGTGTGACGCAGTATACCTGAAACCTCTTGGACCCACACACACACACACACTGCCCCCGATGCTGTCGAGGCGCGTCGTGTCTTCGGTCGCTGGCTCAAGCATCCATGGTCTGTGCGATGCCGTCTGGAGGCCATGCTCAAGTCGGACG